TGTTCAAAGCTCTGGGAATGGAATGCAACCCTTGTGGAGAGCCTATAAATGGACGCATGAGGGGCACCTGTTCATATGGATAAGATAGGGCTATAAATGCCCTTATCTTGCCACGGTTCTTCTAGGTCTCTTTAGGGTTAAGGCATACTCCATTCTGGGAATTTTTGGTCTAACTGGTTGTCTAGCTTCACATCCTGTTTCTATTGATTGTTTGTAACCAGCTTTTGCTGCAGCTATTACTGCTGATTAATATCTTGCTAATCATAGGTATGGATGGACTGTGTTTCTGTTTTAAGGCTCTGTTAGAAATTGCTGACGCACACACTATATTGTAAATTCTTATCTCTGTATACTATACTTCTGCATACCGATGTTATGTTAAAGAATAACTTCATCCCCATGTGACCATCTCACCTCATAATCAAACGACCCCAAATCTCTCACTAACCTATCCCCACCCTCACTAAACTTAATAGTAAATGCTGGTATATCTGGTGCATTGGCAGCATCACAGGACCAGAAGGCAGTGACCCCCCTGGACCCAGCTTTCACTATCTTGTGAGTATCTTCTATTTCTCGACCTGCCAATCCGCCTGGGAACAAGGAAAGAGTCTCATCACATTGCGGGCCGCTGGCCAGATCCCACAATAGGTATACAAATCAAATAGTCTCAGGTTCAAATCCTTATTCGTTATTATTTAGCTGAATAACCTGGGCAGTTCACTGTTTGTTCTCAGTCAGTTTGCTCCATGGTAAAATGGAAGCAACACCAGATCATACCTAACTTGTGTGCCTATCATGAAGATGAAATGAAAATTAACATAAAAATCTTTATGTAAGATCTATTAGTTAGTACTTAATGTTTTCCAATTGCAAGAATGTAAATTTAATTATAACTAAATTACACAATTTAACTCCAATTGTCTTATACCCAGAAATACAAAAATGCAAACCTATATAAAATAAAAATAAACAGTGACAGTGTGATAAAAAAAAAAATCACAGGGCCAAGGATGAGATCCTAGTCTCAGTTTTATCACTGGCTAGTTTTGTGACATTAGGCAAGTCATTTAACCTCTCCAGAAACACCTATCTTAGGAATACAACAAAAGTGCAGATCAAGCTTCTTATTCCAGACAAGATTGAATGAAAGCTTTCCATTTTACTTCTATTAATCATGACACCAACTAACACACACAAAAATATCTTCAAGAAAAGTCTACTCTCTCTAGCCAAAGGACTAGGAAAAGGAAAGCCCAACAGGACAGAAACCATTTAGCCTTTTTACTTCTTTGTTGTGGAGGCAAATACCATGAAAAACATTTGACCCTTCCCAATTCTAAAAGGTCCTACAGCCCTGGCGTACATGGACAGTACCTTGTCTTTCACCCTACTTTGCAATAACGAGGTAGTACCCTTCTCTGCTGAGGCTGTGAGCTGAATTGTGAGTTCTATTCCTAAGCTGAAGTAAAGAAACTCCCTGCAAGTCAGAGGGCAAATTAGGACTTCCAGCCTTCTTCTATAGTAATAAGGAGGTGTACTTCCCCTTGGAGCAGATATGGGCAGATCTCTGACTGTCTTCCCTCTGTAGTAAAGAGTAAGCTAGTATACCAGAGGGTTTCCTGTCTTCTGTTCCATATTCCATTTCCCAAGCTTGTACTGATGAGAATGTGAGATGGGCTCCTGTGGGAGTGGGTAATACAAAGTGGAGTAGACCAGAATAGCACTGCAGAAGCTTTATAACCTGCATTGGTATTTGAACTGCCACCCACAAAAGTGAGCATTCAGAATCTAAATAGGCTATATGCTAAAATAAAAGATCTGTATAGTATCCAGGGTAAGTCTTACAACAAATATATAAAATGTCCAGGATATAGTCCATAATTACTCACCTTATCAAGAATCAAGAGAACATCAATTTGAGTGAATTGACACCAACAGTGAGATGATACAGATGTTGGAAATACAGAATAATTAAATATTTAAAAGCAGCTGTTATAAAGCTTTTCCAATAACTATGAATAGTCTCAAAACAAACAAAAAATTAGGAAATTTTAACAAAGAAATAAAAGATAAAGAAGAACCAAGTGAAAATGTTAGAACTGAAAAATACAATAGAATAAATTTAAGAATTCAATAAAATAGCTCAATAGCAGAATGGCAGTAATAGAAGAATCTGTGAAATTGAAGACAGATCAGAACATATTCAAACTAAACAACACAGAGAAACTACATTGGAAACAACAAAAACTGAGTTTCAGGAACTTGTGACACAACAAGAGATCTAACATTTGTGCCATCAGTATCCAAGAGTCCAAGAAAGAGAGGAAAAAGAATATGTAGTTGAAGAATATTTGAAGAAAGAGTGGCTGAAACTCCTCCAAACTGGCAAAATACAAATCTATAGTTTCAGAAACCCAAACAGGATAAACCCAAAGAAAGTGGCACCAAGATCTATCATAATTAAACCTCTAAAAATTAAACAAAAACATAAACAAAGAAAATTTCCTGAAGGAAGGCAGTGAGAAAAGGTTCATTACATACGGGGGATAACAATTCAGATGACAGTAGATTTCTTAACAGAAACCACAGAGGCCAAAAAGAAGTAGCACAACATTTTAAAATGTTGAATGAAAGGAATTGTCAACCTAGAATTCTATGTCCAGTGCAAATGTACTTCAGAAATGAAGGTGAAATGAAAACATTCTTAGATGAAGGAAAGCTAAGAGAATTTCTTGCCAGTACACCTGCACTATAAGAATGAATAAAGATAGTTCTTCAGATCTGAAAGGATATGATAAGCTTGTAACATCAGAAATGAAAAAAGATAAATGGAAAGGGTAAATAAACGGGTAAATACAATAGACTATTATTCTCTCGAGTTTTCAAAATTGAATTTAACATTTAAAAGTAAAATTATAATATTATCTGATGTAGTTCTCAACGTATATAGAGATAACACTTATGACAATTATGAAGTAGAGAGGGTAAAGGAACCTAAATGGTTGCAAGATATCTATATTTCATTTGAGGTGGTAAAATTTTTATACTAATAGACTGCAATCAGCTACATCTGCATATTGTAATCCTTAGAGCAATCACTTGTAAAACACAATACAAAAAGAGCTGCTAAAATCACCTCAGATAAATAAGAATAAAATTATTTTTAATATGTTCAAGTGATTCACAGGAAGATGGGAAAAGGAAAATAGAGGTATAAAAAACAGGAAAAACAAAATAAATAATAAAATGCTAGACAAATCTTAGTATGTCAATAATTACATTAAATATAAATAGTCTTCATTCAGCAATTAAAAGACAGAGATTGCCAGAATGAAAAAAAGACCCAAGTATATGCTGTTTTCAAGAAACTAATTTCAAGTATAATGATACAAGAAGTTTAAAAGTTAAAGAATAGAAATGCATATACCGAGCATATACTAATCAGAAACAAAGCTGTTGTGGCTATATTAATCAGATAAAGTAAAGTTTAGGCAAATAAATTTTGAAGAATTAAGAGGGACATTACAGGATAAAGGGATCAATTCACTAAGAAGACATGATAATCTTAAACGTGTATGTGCAAAACAACAGAGTTTCTAAATACATAAAGGAAAAACTACTAGAACTGGGGAGAAATAGATACTCTCAATTGTCCTTGGAAACTTCAACATTCCTCTTTCAGTAATTGATAGAATAAGTAGACAAGAAGTCAATAAGGACAGAGGTGAACCAAACAATATCATTACTCAGTAAAATCAAATTGATATTGATATCAATTACTTCACCCAATAATAATTTATATCAATTATTCCACCCAACAATACATATTTTTTCCAGCCTGCATGGCACATTTATCAAGATAGACTATATCTTGTGTCATTTAATCAACCTTAACATATTTAAAAGAACTGAAATTGTACAAAGTATGATGCTTGACCACAATGGAATCAAACTGGAAATAATTAACAGAATGATAACAAGAAAATCTCCACATACTTGGAAATTAAACAACATATTTACTAAATGAGGGCACAGGTTTGGGGGCTTAGCTTTAACATTCTGTGACTGATTCTGTCAGTCAGTATTACCAATGGGGTATTTCTCCCATAAAGTGATAAAACTTGGTCTATCAATATTTGAGTACAATATACAGCCATGTGTTTAAAGCACTGCAGGTATGTGTAGGGAAAGGAGAACTAATATTTGTTATGTACCAACTATAAGCCATGTCTATATTGACCACTCACTATTTTAATCTTCATAATCACTTGTCTTGCTATTCTCTCTCAGCAAGATACCTGTGCTGAGTGGCAGGAAAACCGGCACTGGTTTCTTGAGATAGAGTTTGATGGACGAGAGAACTTGAAAGAATTCGGTCACCAGAGTTGGGGAGCCCTGATGGGAGATTATTGCATAGAGGCAGAAAGAGGCTGCATCAAGAAGGGTCCCAGGTGGTTCAGTCAGGAGTCTGAATACCGTTTGGCAAAAATTTAAGCAGAGGAGGAACATTTTAAAATTATTACTTAGTGAGCGTGCACTGCAAGGGAAGGAGACTGAAGGTGGAGGGATCAATTAGTGTAGTGGGAATAACTCAGTTGAGAAGTGATGAAGATTCAGGTAGTATTATCACCACTTTATGTATGGGAAATGAAGTTTCTCAGAAAGAAAGTATAGCGTTTTTGAGGACAATCATATAAAAGAGGACAAGGTAATCACATTACAAATAAGGTGTTCCAATAATGTTTAACATGACGACATGCAAATTAGTAAACATTTAATAATATTCCATCCCTAGAAAGTGTAGGTGGAATCATGCCTGTTAATGGGTTCGGAAACGAAACCCAAAGTGGGTTTTACCAGGTTACTAGCGTTAGCCACACCACTTCCTGCCCTTCAACCCCGACTCCACCCACGCTCCCGGAACGTCCGGGAATGTCCCTTGTGCTGCAGAACAGGGTTAGGGTGAGGACACGCCAGGTACCTTCTCCCGCTCCTACCTGCTGAATCTCCAGGTGCGACTGCTCGAAGTTCACATGGAAGAAGTTGCCAACGAAGGGCAGGGGCCAGGGCCCCGGCGGGTAGTTCTTTGGGCGCCGTCTTTTGAGAAAGTCAGCAACGAGCAGAAAGGCGACAGTGCCCAGCAGGAGAGTTCGAGGATGGACCACTGCCCAGAGGGCAGCCGCCAGAGAGCCTAGCGCTGCGAGCATGTCGCAGACGTCCTCCTGCTCTTCTGCGGTCTAAGCAGTCGCCGGTCCCCGCAGCGCCTCCCTGCCCCGCCTCGCTCCCAGTCGCGCCCCGCCTCCCAGCCCCGCCCCTTCGCTGCACCCCGCGAAGTTGTCAGGCGCTGGATTCCCGGGAGGACACGCACCAGTCTTACAAAAGACCAGGCTAGGAGCAGTTTCTTTTCTATTCAAGAAGCCCATGGGTTTACTGAGAGCATCACAGACATTTGAGCCTCTGTTCGTTTCAATCACCGTCTCTCCCATGATTGGAACCATGCCTGGTAAATAGTGATGACAACAGCAGTACCAAGAAACAACATTTCTTGGGCTCTTACTAAATGCCAGACAGCACATCTGCCTCTTTATAAAGATTATTATTTCATTTTGACAAAATTATGCAGGAGAAGCTCTCGGTAGTCTCATCTTGCAGTTGAGGAAACAGAAAGGTTAAGTACTAAGTATGTGGTGAACAAATAAATCCACCCTCTGAAACACATCTAAACGAGGTCCTGTATTTGAAAGTGTTTGGAAGATTAAAAGGCACTACATTAAAGCTGCTAGCACTGAGCAGCATTCATAATAAGTGCTTAATGAACATTTGTTGAAGGAATGTCTTAGTCCTGATCCTTGCTGGTTTGCTTTGAAAGGCTCCTCTCCGAAGCCCCAAGACTGTGGGACCGCCGGGTTCTGGCCTTTCATACCATCTGGTGAGTGCCTGCTTGGGTCTCACAAATGGTGAGACTCAAAACATGAAACATAGCTCCGGAATAGTATAATATACACTCATGTACTCAACATAGAGTCACATATTCTGCTTACAATATTTTATTTCTTTATTTATTTTTGAGATGGAGTCTTGCTCTGTCACCCAGGCTGGAGTTCAGTGTCACCATCTCAACTCACTGAAACCTCTGCCTCCGGGTTCCAGCGATTCTTCTGCTTCAGCCTCCCATGTAGTTGGGACTACAGGCACGTGTCACCACGTTCGGCTAATTTTTGTATTTTTGGTAGAGACGGGGTTTTGCCATGTTGGTCAGGCTGGTCTCTATCTCCTGACCATAGGTGATCTTCCCACCTCGGCCTCCCAAAGTGCTGGGATTACAGGCGTGAGCCACTGCGCCCAGCCCCCTTTTATTTTTATTTTTTGCATTAAAAAAATGATGCAGGGGAATGACTTCCATAATGGCAGCATGAGAAACCCCATAAAACCTCATCCTAGTAAAAAACTGTGATTGCTAAAAATTATTTGTAAAACTAAAATAATTTAAGTCCCTGAAAATTGTTATAAAGGCAGACAGTAAATAAATAAATTTTATTTAAGAAGAATCTACTAAACCCTAGTAAACACAGTAAGAGTCTGTGGCATCTGAACCATAACCCACTCCTTCTCCTAGTCCTCAGATCAGTGTGACAGAAACCTCATTCTAGACAGTTATATCCAAGAACACTTTCCCTAGATCCCAAATGAAGGCTACAGTATCTCCCTGAGAGGGAAAAACTGCCAGCATTTCTCATACCTAGCCCCCCAAATTTCATGTTGCAGAAGCTCTATTCTAGGCAAGACTGGGTAAGAAGTCTAAGGATATCCTCCTCCATCCAGCCCTCACTTGTAATGCAAAAACATTACCTGCCCCATGCCATAATTGCCCTCATCCCAGCTTGCTCATGAGATAGAGGTTCCACAGTGGGAGAGGTTAGCCACAAACACCACAGATGAATGCCTGAAACAATAGAGATTTTGGTGGTAAGCAATTAAGAGAAGGCTGGCAGTTCTATGAGAACAAGAAGCTAAACCATAGGCTAACTAGAAGTTTACCAAGTCAGTCAGCACAAGAGTTAGCCAGGAAGAGCCTTCCTGGGATCAGGACAAATCTCAAAGTCTGGCCTCAAAGACTATTCCTGAGAAGCAGCCCAAATTTAATTGGATCAAATTGTGTGGCAATGTATGCCCCAAGGCATTGTTGAAAACAATAGAGCAGTCAGCTGGAAGTCAGCAGAGACTGTGTGTAATACCAACAGAGGCAGACGGTTTTAAATATAGAACAGAGAAAAAGATAGTCAAAGAGAGCCCTGCTAAAGCCAATGTCATTGTATTGTGACTGTGTGCACACCCGAGTCCATGCCCTCAGGTAAGTGACATCAGAGGCTTTACACTGTGGGGAAATATGTTTCACTAAATTAGTCAGTCCTGCCAAGTCAGTAAACAAATGAAAGTATAAACAAAAAGAATTGGAAGAGAAAGGCAGATCATTAGCCATAATTGCCATAATATATTATCTAAAATGTACAGTTTTCAACAAAAAATGATAAGACATGCAAAGAAGCAAGAAAGTGTGACCCAACAGAGGAAAGAAAGCAGGCAATTGAAACTGCCTGTGAGACAGCCCAGATGTCAAACAGCCAGGACTGTAAAGCAACTTAATTATAAATATGTCCAAAGAACTAAAGAAAATCATGGTGAAGAAAGTAAAGGAATGTATGAGACAATGTCTCAACAGATAGAGGATATCAATAATGATAGAAATTATAAAAAAAAAAGTGGAAATTGAATTCAAAATTGCAATAACTGAAATTTTAAAAATCACTACAGGGGATCAACAGTAGATGTAAAGTAGAAAAGGAAAGAATCAGTGAGCTTGAAGATAGCTTGATAGAGATTATGCAATGTAGAGGACACAGACAGAAAAAAAGAATAAACTATCTCGGAGAAATGTGGGACATCACTAAACACACCAGCATATATGTCATCAGAATACCATAGAATACAATGGCGAGGAAAGAGCAGAAATGTATTTGAGGAAATAATAGCTGTAAAATTTCCAAAATTTCATGAAAAACATTAATCTATGTATCCAAAAATTCCAGTGAGCTCCAAATAGAATAAATGCAAAGGAATCCACATGCAAATACATCATAGTAAAAATACCTCATAGTAAAAATACTGAAAGACAAAGACAAAGAGAAAATCCTGCAAGCAGCATGAGAAAAATAGTTCATCCAATAAATTGGAACTCCAAAAAGATTAACAGCTGACTTGTAATTAGAGAAAATGGAGACCAAAAGGCAGTAGGATGATATATTCAAAGTGCTAAAAAGAAAAGAAAAAAACTCAGAAAACTGTTAATCCACTTGAGGTGTGTCCACCTCTTGGTTATTGTGAATAACTGCTGCTACAAATGAAGGTGTGTAAATATCTCTGAGATTCTGCTTTCAATTCTTTTGGGTGTGTTCCCAGAGACAGAGTTGCTGGATCATATGGTAGCTCTATTTCTTAATATTTGTAGGAATTACCATGCTTTTTTTCATAGGGATTACACCATTTTGCATTCCTAGAAGCTGTGCCCAAGATTTTCAGTATCTCCACAACTTCATCTGTATTTGTTATCTTCTGTTATTTTTTGTTATACTATTCATCCTAATATGTGTAAAGTAGAATCTTACTGTGATTTTGATCTTAATTTCCCTAATAATTAGCGATGCTAAGTATATTTTCATGTTATGGTTGTTCATTTGCATATCTTCTTTGGAAAAATGTGTATTCAGGTTCTTTGCCAGTTTTTAACTGGGCTGTTTAATTTTTTACTGTTTAATTATGGGAGTTATTTATGTATTCTGTATATTAATCTTATCAAATATATGATTTGTGAATGTTTTCTCCAAAAAAAGGTGTCAGACAAGAATCTTATATGAAGCAGATGGTTCATTTTTTAAAAAATGAAAGGAAAAACAGTTATCTTCAGATTTAAAAAATACAAAAACTGAGAGAATTTACTGCTAGCAGACTTTAATTTTTAAGAAAGTCCTTAGATTGAAAGCAAATGACCCTAGGTAGTAATTAGACTACGTGGAAACACAAATTGCAAAGTTCATTATGTGATTATGAAAGATGCCATAAATGCATATTTCTTCTCCTTTCTCCTCTTAACTGCTATAAAAGTATTTGTAAATATGTCTGGTTTCTAGTCCAGTGTGAATGGAGCTTGGAAGTCATCACTCCTATCTTTGCAACAGAAAAAAGCTGAACAAACAGAAAGTTAACAACTCTTCTTAGATTGATCAGAAAAGTAAGATAACAGGGCAAACTCTTACCCCCAAAATAGAGACACACAGTCCGGGTAAATACAAACAATCATAGGTTAATGGATCAGAGCCTAGGGAGCAGAAACCAGCAGTACCACAGTAGGAAAATTTAAACTTTAAATTTAAAATTGAAATTTTATATTTAAGCTGTAATTGACAAATTGCTAGATGCTCAGTGTGAATAAGATTCAGAGTTTAGAAATTCTGGGGAGCCTAGACTTAGAGGGACCCCAGATTATCATTAGTTTTTCCTCTGGGAGCCCAACCAAGTTCTCAGCATTGTAGTGACCAATCCCCCAAATCATCGAGTTGATATTTTAAAAAGAAAGAAGAAAAAAGCTTGACATTGTGTACATGTTTTAATTTTTTAAAAAAAGTTAAAGCACACACATGGAAAAATACAAGTGAAACTGAGTAGAATATATATAACATATTGACTTAGTATTACTAGTGGGCAGAATACCAATGAGAAATTATCAGATTATTCCCTTTATTGGTCCTTATGCCACCCACATTTCTGAATAAACCAATAACCCATTAATCAATCATTACTAGTGATGACAACTAGCAAGTGATATTTTTCAGCATTAAAAACTGTTGAAAACCTATTTATCCAAAAAGTGAACTCTATAAATATTAACATAAAATTTAGCTAGAATATTTCTAGGTATTAAATTATATACCAAAAATTTAAAATGTATTTGAGATAAAAAAGTAAGGCGTATTTCCCAAGCAACAGTGATAATTTCTTATTTTGCAAATTTCTTATTTCAGAAATCAGGATAATTTGAGATTTAAAAATTTCGTTAGTGATCTTACATCTTCTTCCACAACATAGATGCATTGTTTGACAACTAGAAGACATAAATGCTTTTTGAATGCTTTAAGGATTTAGTTAAAGTTTAATTGATGTGATGTATTTTTTTACTAAGTAGTAACTTGGTCATCATAA